GGGGGGCTCAGTTAAGCGTCCAACTCTCGATCTTGGCTCAGGTCATGATCTCATGGTTCGTGAAACAGAGTCCCACATTGGGCTCCAAGCTGACTATGAGGAGCCTGCTTGGGATGCTAGCTCTCTGCCCCTCCCCCACGTCACAGGGGCACATACACTCCCTCTCTCAAAATAAATACTTTTTTTTAAAAAGGTGTTAAAGGGGCACCTGGGTGGCTCAGTCTGTTGACCCTCTGATTTTGACTTAGGTCATGATCTCAGTTTGTGAATTCGAGTCGCATGTCCGGCTCTGCGCTGACAGCTCAGAGCTTGCTTCAGATTCTATGTCTCCCTCTCTCTCTGCCCCTGCCCCACTCACACTCTCTCTCTCTCTCAAAAATAAACATTAAAAAAACATTTTTAAATAATAAAAAATAAAAAGTTGTTTGAAAAAAAAAGATTCTCTCTCCCCCTCTGCCCCTTCCCTGCTCATGGCTCACCCTGGCACATGCTCTCTCTCAAAAAAAAAACAGGAAAAAAAAGTTCTAATATTCACAACCACCATGCAAGGTAAATATCAGCCCCAATTTAAAACTGAAATTATGGACGTTAAAATTCATGACATTAGGTTAGAAGAACTAAAGAGTTAAGATAGGGATGGCTTCCAAGATGCAGAGGTGAGGCATTCAAGGTAAGGGAGAATTTCAACAAAAGAATGGGGCACCAAAGCACAGAAGGCGGCTGGAAAACAAGCTGGCACGCAGCACCAATTAAATGGGGAAAGGAGGCTAAGGAGGCCGAAGGGGAGGATGCGTCGAAGGCCAGGGACAAGCTCTGGACTGCTCTGTGTGGGGTGGGGTCACTGAGGGCTTCTGAACCCAGAGCAGCAGGAGTACCTCTTCAAGGTCCAGCAAGGGCGGGTGAGCTGACCAGAGGCAAGCGCAGTGCAACAATACAGGCCTGACCTTGGACAGGTCCAAGACACAGACACGTTTCCATATAATCCAAGATTTTTCCATTTGATATTAAGAAACCATGGGTTCGAGTTTAAGATCCTTGCCAACCTTGGGTATTTAATCTTGGCAAATGTATCAGGTATAAAATAAAAATTAAAAAAAGAAAACATGGTTACTATTTTGAAATTTTAGTTTAAAAAGAGCAGTTTTTTAAAGTTTATTTTATCTATTTTTTAAAAATTTTTTAATGTTTATTTCTGAGACAGGGGAAGACAGCACGAGTAGGGGAGGGGCAGAGAGAGGGAGACACAGAATCTGAAACAGGCTTCAGGCTCTGGGCTCTCAGCACAGAGCCCGATGCGGGGCTCCAACCCGCGGGGCTCCAACCCACGAACCGTGAGATCATGACCTGAGCCAAAGGCAGACACTTAACCGACTGAGCCCCCAGGTGCCCCTATTTATTTATTTTTTCAAGAGAGGGAGAAAGAGCTCCATGTCAGCATGGAGCCCGACATGGGGCTCGATCTCACAAACGATGAGATCATGACTTGAGCCAAAATCAAGAGTCAGACACTTCACTGACTGAGCCACCCAGGCGCCCCCAAAAAGCAGAATTTATTTTTATGTTTATTTTTTAGAGAGCATGAGTGGGGGAGTGAGAGGGAGAGGGACAGAGAGAGAGACAGACAGACAGAAGATCTGAAGCAGGCTCTGTGCTGACAGCAGAGAACCAGATGCGGGGCTCGAACCCATGAACTTGAGATCCTGACCTGAACCAAAGTCGGATGCTTAATTGACTGAGCCACCAAGGTGCCCCAAGCGTAGCATTTTCTTACTATAACTTGTTAATCAAGAGCAAGAGTTAACCAAACTATTAAGTTTTATTAAAAGGATTAGAATTTATGGAAATTTCAGTTTTCTAAACTGAGACAGCATAATGAAGCATACGTTCTAAGTATGTAGGCTCCAGACCCAGACGAGGTTTAAATCCCAGCTCTGCTACTTCCTAGCTATCTGATCTGAGGCAGTTATTTCAATTTTCTCTGCCTGGGTTTTCTCATCTTTAAAATGAGAACATAATAAATAGTACCTGTCTCACAGGGTTGTAAATAAATCTGGCACATTGGTTTATTATACATTTTTAGCTGTGTGCATTTATACTACATATTAGCTATGATTATACATTTTTAATGTGTAATCATTTCACAAAATAAGTATGTTTTACTCTGGTAATCAAAGCCCAAAAATGGAAAAATTAACTAAAGGAAGGCTAGCAATAAATAACAGATATTATATCTTCAAATGTTCCAAGGGTAAAAACATGATATTTCGATATGAGCCTCTTAGTGTTCCTCTTCTGTGATATCCTGATATCTATCTAACCCATCCCGATATCTGTCAGAACTAGATTTGTAAAAATGCCTACATGTTTAGCCAGAGACACAAAAGAAACAAATTCCCAAATGAGTCATATCTAAAATACTGACTGATCAGATTCTATTATAAAAAAAGCCATGTGTTTAGTAAGATTCCTGGGGTCTTCCTATTTCAAAGCAATAGAACAAAATCCCAGCACAGATAAGTGTTTATCAATCCCTTGCATTCTACTGAAATAAGAATTGCTTTTCATGAAGATTTATAGCTTTTACTAATGAAAACCAACTTTTGAGACAAGGACCTATTCCTCCAAGGAATACAAAATTATACAAAATTTAAAATACCTTACCATGTGGCCAAGGAGGGCCTTCAGGTTGTCCAAAAACTTTTCCCTTTCGGGTACAACTTGGTCTGAATATATATCTGAATTTTCCAGGTTGATTTATTGGAATACTGTGACCATGTTGATATTCTCTAAAGTAGAAATTATATAATTATTATGTTCCTTAAATCCCAAATCACTACATTTCAAAAAGCCCAAATTCTAGCTCAGATTAATACATTCACCTGACATTGCTTATTCTGTACTTCAGTGATACATTTAGTGTTATAACAGTTCTCAACAAAATATTCTCCATGTCTCATACCTCAAGCTTCATTTTTTTTCAAAGAAGTTATTTCTGCTTATCCGTTTGTCCATTTCAAATTGCTTATTGGCAGCTATTTATGTATTTAATACCCTGTTTTATTCAAGAAAATATTTCAAGGGAGTCTCTGGTATTTTGAGTAGACCCCAAATCCTACACCACAAGTGACATGATTAGGCCTGGGTTTGTGCTGTAAGAGACAGCAGAGAAGAAGTGATAAGCTTTTGGGGACTGCTTCTGCAAGAATGGGGCCAAGTGGAGAAACAGGAGAGCAATTAGGAGGCAAATTACAGAAGGAAATATTAAAAATTACAGAAAAGAAGGAAATAACTGAATGGATATCAAAATTGTATTAGGTATGCTGAAGTGTTATTATATCTTAGAGATTTAATGCCATTTTTGTCTTTTTCCTTGGTGATTCTTTCTATAAGCTTATACAGACCTCGTAATTATAGGACCATTTTTTTCTTTACTTGATTATCATTTTTCTGAGCAGGGTAGGTACAAATATACAGAACTTGGTTTACAAAAGCACTGAGTTTCTTCTTATAATGCCTGACATGACATAATCACGTTGAATGACTTGCCAAAATTTGTCTTACCTTCTTGGAGAAAGAGAACATTGCTGTCTGGAAATGTGAGCAGTTCTGGGTCTGTTAAGCAATGGTTTCTGTGCAGTAGTTGGTAGTTGTACTGATTCAGATAACAATTCATTCATCAGACTGTACGCTTGTGAGATTCGACGATTATAGTGGTCAGAGAGTAGCAATCTTCAAACAAAGAATTAAACAATATTTAATAAAAGATTAATTTTCAGTTCATTCTTCTGGAGGGAACATGATGTTTGAGATCACCTAGCATTTGTGTTTTTCAAAGCTTTTCAAATGCAAATTCATATTTCAGATTTCTTAAAACCCTTAGGTAGTTTTAGTAAAGGTATCTGTATGGCCTTTTGGGTATTTTCAAAATGCACATATCTGGATTGGGAGAGGGAGAGAATGGTAGGAATGGAAGTCACAAAAATTCAATGGGATAAATAATATTTGAAAGCAGATTCCTGAAAAAGGCTAGTGGAGTCTAATTATTTTCCCTGGAGTTATCACCCATAATTTTCTGTTTATGGACAAACAGGGACTACTGCGAAAACTGGAATTCCTATGACACTGTCCAGGCCTCGGGTGAGCAAGTTAGAGAAAACACTCGTGCACCACTAGCCAGCTCACCTGTCTTTTTCATCCTTCATCTTCGCTCTTAGCCTGATTTCTCTTGAAGTCATGTAAAACTGCATAACAAATACCCAGTTAGTTCATTATTGCTGAGTGCAAATAATTAAGCCATTATGACCCACGGAAAACATGAAAATTCCACTAATCAATTTTAATAGGAGGTTAAAACATATTTTTGCTATTTAGGAAACAGTGCAAAAACACTGTCCTATTTGATGAAGCTTCCTATCCCAGCACAAAATGTGAAAAATGTTAAAGCATCATGTAATCAAAATCTGGTTTAATACGTGATATGCAAAATCTATTTTAGTAGCTAAATTAAAGTTCTCTCCTTTTGAGAAAATACATTATCTGCTGCGTTTAAAATTGAAAACAAGAGCATTTAAAGGATGGAGACACATACTCTTCATGCTCAGTCTTGTGATTAATCTCACAAAGACCTTGCTTGATAAAGCAGAAAGGAGTCAGACCTTGAAAGCCATCATTCTGATGTTTTAAAATGTTTACCAGAAACCTACTGTAGTGCGTTCACTGTGACTTGTAAGCTCTTCAAAACTTATGCATCATGAAGCAATTGGCAAATGTCAGCTACATACATCTTATTCCAGAACATTAAGAATTACTGTTGAGTTACTAATGAAGTCTAGTCCTTTTACAAACAATTGTGTATATAAAAATGTGTACATAGAAGTGGATTCACTCTCTGTAGGTCCTGCATGGAAGTAGTCAGTAACAAATTAAAGGTCTTATTAATTTCTGATATAAATTCAAATGACATTTTTAATTATATTAACCCCTCACTAATCCCATACCTTAACCTAAATAGAAGCTAAAAATAAATAGGTGTCTGTAGTCATGATGGAGAGGTCACAAAGTCTATGAACCAAGCAGTCCCAGTGCCCTCAGAGTTAATTTATTCTAAATTTGGGCACAATTCTAACTATCTTTGGTATTTACTTGATCCACAGAGAGGGTGATATCAGAACCCACCCCCATGGGGTGGAGGAACACACAAACACATGCGCTTTAAGATTCTAGTCATGGGGCATCTGGGTGGCTCAGTCAGTTAAACGTCCAACTCCTGGTTTCAGCTCAGGTTGTGATTTTGTGGTTTGTTGAGTTCAAACTCCACATAGGGCTCTGTGCTGACAACATAAAGCCTGCTTGGGATTTTCTCTCTGCCCCTCCCCTGCTCATGCTGTCTCTAACTAAATACATAGATAGATAGATAGGTAGATAGATAGATAGATAGATAGATAGATAGATAGATAGATATATAGATAGATAAAATGCAAAAAAAAAGAAAAAAAAGATTCTAGTCATGTACCTCAGTAGCCCGAAGGTCATTACCAGGTCCCTAAAACTATCAACAGAAGAAATGTTATATATTAACATTGACATGACTTCTGCAGACATAAGTTAAGTAAATTATGCACTTCATATAGTTCACCTACTTTTGCACCATTTGGTGCTTAAATGTGACAGCCTTATCTGGAAAATATACTTTTATAGAACGTTATTTCCCTAATGATGCTGAAAAAATTAAGTACTATTATGATATTTCAGATTATAAAGTAAAATTGCTTTATCTCAACTTCTGAAGAAAACGGTGATGTCCACAGTCAAGGCTCAGTAAATAAATGTTGATAAAGGCTAGCTGAAACGCACACATACACGCACACAAACACACACACCACACCACTGTACCCTTGGTACGTGACTGAACCTTACACTTTATTTTTTGTAGATAACTTATGGATAGAAAATTGATTTTTATAACTTTGTTCTAAGTTTATTTGAGAGAGGGAGAGAGATCGAGCAGAGGACAGGCAGGCTCCACGCTGTCAGTGCAGAGCCCAACACAGGGCTCACAAACCGTGAGATCATGACCTAAGCCAAAATCAAGAGCTGGATGCTTAACAGACCAAGCTACCCAGGCACCCCAGAAGACTGATTTTTAAAATGGCTTTACTATACACACAGTCAGTTGTTCAACTGCTATTAACTCTCATTGAAAATTAAGGGAATAGCTCCAACTGGTCACCTAATCACTCAACATCTTCATTTGGCCAAATTAGCCACAGCCATAATTAACCTGGGGTAAAAAAAAATATTTAAAATACTTCAAGAGGACACGGTTTGTAGAATACCTTGCTACATTTTGTTAAGGTAATTTCTTAACATTTTCTGACTTAAGTAAAATGGTAACATTTCTGTTCTAATAATCCTTTCTGTCTGTTAATCCTTTCCTTGACTAATTTCCAGGGAAAAACTACACATATTCTGTGGCAATTCCATTGCCCTTGATTTTACAAACTTACTGGATTGCTCCTGGGGCAGAAAGGATCATGTTCTTGCCCTCTCTTTTCCGCCAGCTCATTTAAGTATTCCGCCATTCTTTCCTTTCGTTTTCTTTTCATCCACATTTGAATTTCTCTTCTCTCCTTCTCAGGTCTTTGTGTTGGTCTACCAGAAGAATGCTGAATTCTGAGAAATTTCACAGTCAGGATATCACTTGATTTTAAATTTTTTATGGATACAAGTAGTATCACAACTAAATACTGTTTCTATGGAAAGACTTTTTAATGTTTACTTATTTATTTTTGAGAGAGAGACAGAGAGCGAGTATGAGCAGGGGAGGGGCAGAGAGATAGAGGAGGAGGCTCTCCATTGTCAGCACAGAGCCCCATGTGGGGCTCGAACTCAGAACCGTGATATCATGACCTGAGCAGAAATCAAGAGTTGGACAATTAACCAACTGAGACACCTAGGTGGCCCAAGATATTTTGTTTATTTTTAAGTGACCTCTACACCCAAAATGGGGCTTGAACTTATAACTCTCAGATCAAGGGTCGTATGTATGCATCACTGACTGAGCCAGCCAGGCACCCCTATTTGGAAAGATTTTGCCCATTCTCAAAAGTAGGATACATTAAGATCTCTATCAGTTTGCTCCATCCTGTTCCCTGAAATCCACTGAAAATGATCTCAGAGCTCACCAACAGCCTCTTCCTCCTGTGGACTTCTCTATAACATTTAATAAACTGGCTTTTATTTTCTGCTTTAAACTCTCTCTTACTTGGGCCATCTTATTTTAACTCTGAAAACACTGTGCAGCTTCCTATGCTGGCTCCTTTCTTCTCTGCTCATGACTTCAATTTAATGTCTTTAAAGGTTCTCTTTTGGGGGACACCTGGGTGACTCAGTTGGTTGAGAGACCGACTCTTGATTTCGGCTCAGGTCATGATCCCAGGTCGTGGGATCAAACCCCCATCAGGGTTGATGCTAAGCGTGGAGCCTGAACAGGATTCATTCATTCATTCTCTCTCTCTCTCTCTCTCTCTATTTCCTCCCTCCCTCTCCCTCTCTCCCTTTGCCCTTCTTCCCCACTCTTGCTCTCTCTAAAATAAAGAAAGAAAGAAAAATGATTAAACGTTCTGTTTTGGGCTTCTTCACCCATCATCTATTCCTGGATTATCTCAATCACTTCTAAAACTTATATACAGAGCTGACTTTAAAACAGCTGCCCTTGTGAATCCAGCCTCAAACTCATGCCCATGCCATACTTCCCATGGGCTGGCCTGAGCTAATGACTGAGCACAGCAGGGATGTTATGACCGGCCCATTCCTGCAAGACACAGAACTCCTCTGGTGGGCAACTCTGGCTTGACACCTCACCACTGACCCAGCTGAAACTTTCCTGGAACAACACTGTACTCAGATTTTACTTACTCAACCCTCTCCCCTTCCCCCTCCCTCTCTCCTTCACAGGGTTGGATCACAGCTACAATGTGGTCTGATGCTTCCTCTGACTTCTGTGTTTTTCCCCCTTTCTCCTCACAGGCTTTCTCCCAATAAATGTCTTGCACATCTAATCTCACGTTGGCTTCTACTTCTCAGATGATACGAACCGACACAAGTAGTACTGAGAGTGGTCCAAGAAACCAGGTGGTGTGAGATAGGGGTATGGGGCAGACTCATCACCCAGCATGGGAGGAGAATGTCTTCCTAGATGGAAGGTGGGTCACAGGTACAAACGATGTGATTTATACTGAACACCTGCTTTTCCTTCTGGAAATATGGATTCGGTATGTGCCAGGCAGAGGCTGCCTACCCAACCAGCCCCAAAGAAAATCTCTGGGAACTAAGTCTCTAAATGAGCTTCCTTGGTGGACATTGTCTCACATGTGTAGTCACAACCTGTTGCTGGAGGAATTAAGTGTGTCCTGTTGTGACTGCACCGGGAGAGGATACTTGCAAACTTGTGCCTGGTTTCCCTTGGAATTTACTGCACGTGCTTCTCTGAACCTAAGGTGAACGGAGCCCCTGCCCTTAAAGAGACAGCACAAGAAACAGCCCTGCAGGATACAGCATGGAAGCAACAGTTTGAAAAATACCTGAGGCATAGGGGAGGGAGGTTTATTTACTAATCTCAGAGACTGTGCTGGAGGGGCAAAGATCTTTGGGAGAGTTCAAGAACAAAAGAGCTGGAACGCACCATCCATCCCCCACCCCCCCAGTCTAGACACAGGGAATCCTGTGGGAACTAGCGCAACACTGACACTCCCTTTCTAACATGCTAACGGTGCACCCACCCCCATGTTTTCCTGTGGACCCTTACCCTCCAGCCAGGACTCGACTCCAGCTGTCCTCCAACGGCAAACCCACACAAATCATGATAACGGCACACGTCCTGCCCCAACGTGTCCTGTGGACTCACCCCCACTGATATGCTCTCGGTCACAGCCCATCCAAAACTGCCACAAGCCTGGCAAAACAAGCAGCCCCAACAGGAGCCAACACCACAGTGACTCTTGCCCCAGGGAGAAGGAAAAATAACCACACGCAACACTCAGACTGTGGTACCAGCAGTGGACGTGAGGTAGACATCTCGGTTGACTGCAGGGCCCGCCCACATAAAAAGCTTCTCAGGGAGCAGGACAGGGAACGTGCCCTGCTGTTCGGTGCTACTGCATCTCTGGCAAACACCTGGGAGTGACTCAACTCAAGCCCAAGGCAGCCCCAGACTGGCCCACTTACAACACAGGAATCAAACCCTGTCCACAGCAGGCAGAGAGAGCCAATGTAGACAACAGACTGAAGGAAAAAGTGGCTCAGCCACAATAACAGGGCACATGCGACACACAGAGGAGATACCCTGAAGTGCCAGGTTCTGGTGAAGAGGGAACACTGCACTGCAGGGCAATACAGGACCACTTCTTCATATGGCCACTACTTGCAAGAGCAGGAGACATAGATGACTTCCCTAACACACAGAAACAGTTACAGAGAGTTAGACAAAATGAGGAGACAGAGGAATATGTCCCAAATGAAAGAACAGGACAAAAACTGCAGAAAGAGGCCTAAGCAAAACAGACATAAGTAATATGTTTAATAGAGAACTTAAAGTAATGGTCATATAGTTACTCACTGAAAAAAGAGTGAAGGACACCAATGAGACCCTTAACAAAGAGATAGAAAACATAAAAAGAACCAGAGATGAGAAATCAATAATTGAAATTAAAAATAAACTGGATGGAATGAATAGTAGACAAGAGGAAGTAGAGAAATGGATCAGCAACCTGGAGGACAGAGTAATAGAAAGCAATCAAGCTGAACAGGTGAGAGAAAAAAAATAATACAAAATGAAACCAGTGTCAGGGTCTCAGCAACACCATCAAGTATAATAGCATTTTCATTATAGGGATCCCAGAAGGAGAAGACAGAGAAAAGGGGACCAAAATTTTATTTCAAGAAAATAATACCTGAAAACTTCCTGAATCTGGGGAGGGAAACAAATACAGATCCAGTAGGCACAGAGATAACCCAACAAAATCAACCCAAGGAGGTCCACACCAAGACACATAATAATTAAAATGGCAAAAAATGACAGAGAATTTTAAAAGCAGCAAGAGATAAGAAAACAGTTACATACAAGGGAAACCTCATAAGGCAATCAGCTGATTTTTCAGCAGAAAATTTTTGGGTCAGAAAAGGAGTGTCATGATCTATTCAAAGTAGAAAAAATCTGCAGCCAAGAATACTTTATCCAGCAAGGCTATCATTAGCAATAGAAGGAGAGATAAAGAGCTTCCTAGGCAAAAGCTAAAAGAATTCATGACCACTAAAACTCCCCATAAGAAATGTCAAACGAGACTCTTTGAGTGGAAACAAACAAACAAAAAAATCATAAGTACAAGTAAGAAAAGCAGGCAACACAAAAGTAATAAAAATACATATATGTATAAAAATTAGTCAAGGAACTCACAAAAAGAAGGATGTAAAGTATGACACAATGTACCTAAAATATTGGGGGTGGGGAGAAGAGTAAAGAATGGGTTCAAACTTAAGCAACCATCAACTTCATATAGACTGCTATATGAATAAGATGTTATATACAGACTAAGTGATAAGCACAAATCAAAAACCAGTAATACTGTTGTAAAAAACAAGGAGAAAGGAATCCAAGAATATCACTAAAGAAAGCTAGCACACCATGAGAAAAGAGAGCAAGAGAAGAAAGGAACAGAAAAGTACAAACACAACCATAAAACAATTAACAAAATGGCAATAAGTACATACCTATCAATAACTACTTGGTATGTAAACGGACTAAATGCTCCAATCAAAAAATATAGGGTGATAGAATGGATAAAAAGCAAGACCCATGTATATGAGACTATAAGAGACTCATTTCAGGCCTAAGCAGATTGAAAATGAAGGGATGGAGAAACATTTACCATGCAAATGGAAGTAAGAAAAAAGCTGGGGTAGCAATACTTATATTGGACAAAATAGACTTTAAAACAAAGATTATAGTAGCACCTGAGTGACTCAATCAGTTAAGCATCTGACTCCTGACTTCGGCTCAGGTCATGATCTCATAGTTAGCCCCGGTTTGGCTCTGTACTGACAGCATGGAGCCTGCTTGGAATTCTCTCTCTCTCTTTCTCTCTGCTCCTCTCCTTCTCACATGCTGTCTCTCTTAAAATAAATAAATAAACATTTTTAAAAAAGACTGTAGGGGCATCTGGGTGGCTCAGTCAGTTAAGCATCTGACTTTGGCTCAGGTCATGATCTCGTGGTTTGTGGGTTTGAGCCCAGCGTCAGGCTCTGTGATGACAGCTCAGAGCCTGGAGCCTGCTTCAGATTCTGTGTCTCACCTCGCTCTGCCCCTCCCCAACTAGCACTCTGTCTCTGTGTCTCAAAAATGAATAAATGTTAAAAAAAAAAAAAGTACTGTAACAAGAGACAAAGAAGGTCATTACATAATCATAAAGGGAAGAATCCTTTTATAGGAAGAAGGGAAGGGAAGGAGATATAACAATTGTAAATATTTATGCATCCAACACGAAAGCACCCAAATACATAAAGCATCTAATAACAAACATAAAGGAAGTAATTGATACTAATACAATAATAGTAGGGGACTTTAGTGGATAGATCATCCAACCAGAAAATCAACAAAGAAACAGTGACTCTGAAAGACACAATGGACCCAGATGGATCTAACAGATATATTCAAAACATCCCATCCTAAAACAGAATACACATTCTTTTCAAGTACACATGGAACATTCTACAGGATATATCACATATTAGGCCACAAAAGAAGTCTTAAATTCAAAAAGATCAAAGTTATACCATGCATCTTTTCTGACCACAGTGTTATGAAACTAGAAATAAACTACAAGAAAAAATCTGGAAAAAGCATAAATACATAGAAGTTAAATAATATGCTTTCAAACAACAAATGAGTCAACCAAGAAATCAAAGAGGAAATTAAAAAATACATAGAGATATATGAAAATGAAAACACGATGGTGAAAAATCTTTGGGATACAGCAAAAGTTATTCCGAGATGAAAGTTTACAGCAATACAAGCCTATCTCAAAAAGCAAGAAAAATCTCAAATAAACAATTAACCTTAGGAGCTAGAAAAAGGAGAACAAACAAAACCCAAACCTAGTAGAAGAAAAGAAATAATAAAGATTGGAGTAGGGATAAATAAATAGGAACTAAAAAACCAACAGAACAGATCAATGAAACCAGAAGCTGGTTCTTTAAAAATATCAACAAAATAGATAAGCCTTTAGCCAGACCCAACCAAAAAAAAAAAAAAAAAAAAAAAAAAAAAAAGAAAGAAAAAGAAAAGAAAAGAAAAAACAGAAGACTCAAACAAAATCAGAAATGAAAGAGGAGAAATAACAAATAACAACCAACACCATAGAAATAGAAAGGATTGTAAGAGAATATAATGGAAAATTATATGCCAACAAATTGGACAATCTAGAAGAAATGGAAAAATTCTGAGAAACAACCTCCCAAAACTGAGGCAGGAACCACCAGAAAATTTGAACAGATTAATTACCAGCAATTAAATTGAATCAATAATCAAAAAACCTCCCAAAAAATGTCCAGGACCAGACAGCTTCACAGCTGAATTCAACCAAACATGTAGAGAAGAGTTAACATCTATGCTTCTCAAACTATTCCAAAAAATAGAAGAGGAAGGAAAGCTTCCAAATTAATTCTATGAGGCCAGCATTACCTTGATACCAAAACCAGACAAAGACACTACAAAAAAAGCGACTATAGGCCAATTATCTCTGATGAACACAAATGAAAAAATCCTAAACAAAATATTAGCAAACCAAATCCAACAACACGTTAAAAATATCATTCACCAGGGGCGCCTGGGTGGCTCAGTCGGTTGAGCGTCCGACTTCAGCTCAGGTCATGATCTCACAGTTCGTGAGTTCGAGCCCCGCGTCGGGCTCTGGGCTGATGGCTCAGAGCCTGGAGCCTGCTTCCGATTCTGTCTCCCTCTCTCTCTGCCCCTCCCCCATTCATGCTCTGTCTCTCTCTGTCTCAAAAATAAATAAACATTAAAAAAAATTTAAAAAAAAATATCATTCACCTTGATTAAGTGGGACTTATTTCCAGTATGCAGTATGCAAGTGTGGTTCAATATTTGCAAATCAATCAACATGATACATCACATCAACACGAGAAAGGATAAAAACCATATGATCATTTTAACAGATGCAGAAAAAAACATTTGACAAAGTACATCTATTCATGATATATACCTTCAACAAAGCAGGTAATTTAGAGGGAGCATACCTCAACATAATAAAGGTCATATATGAAAAACACACAGCTAACATCATACTGAATGGTAAAAAATTTGAGAGCTTTTCACCTAATATCAAGAACAAGACAAGATGTCCACTCTCACCACTGTAATTCACTTCACAGTACTGGAAGTCCTAGCCACACAACCATACAAGAAAAAGGAATAAAAGGCATCCAGATTGGTAAGGAAGAAATAAAACTTTCACTATTTGCAGATGACCTGATCCTATACATAGAAAACCCTAAAGACTCCAACAAAAACTACTAAAACTGATCATTGAATTCACTAAGGTTGCAGGACACAAAATCAATATAAAGAAATTCACTGCATTTGTATACACTAATAATGAAGCAGCAGAAAGAAAAATTAAGAAAATAATCCCATTTACAATTGCACCAAAAATAATAAAATAACTGAGAATAAACCTAACTGAGGAGGTGAAAGATATGTACTCTGAAAGCCATAAAACACTGATGAAAGAAATTAAAGATGACAAAAACAAATGAAAAGATATTCCATGCTCATGGATTGGGAGAGCAAATACCATTAAAATGTCCCTATTACCCAAAGCAATCTATAGATTTAATGCGATCCCTATCAAAATACCAACAGCATTTTTCACAGACAGAACTAGAACAAATAACCCCACAATGTGTATGGAGAACAAAAGTGGAGGTATCACAATCCCAGATTTCAAGATATACTACCAACCTGCACTAAACTTGTTTTGCACAAGTACAAAAACAGACACAAAGCACACGGGAACAGAATAGGGAGCCTGGAAATAAACACACTATTATATAGTCAATTAGTCTGCAACACAGAAGGAAAGAATATGCAATGGAAAAGACAGTCTCTTCAACAAATTGTGTTGGGAAAACTGGACAGCAACATGCAAAAGAATGAAACTGAACCACTTTCTTACACCATACAAAAAAATTAAACTCAAAATGGATTAAGGACCCAAATGTGAGACCTGAAACTACAAAAATCCTAGAGGAGAGCACAGGCCATAATTTCTCTGACATCAGCCATAGCAACATTTTTCTAGATATGTTTCCTGAGGCAAGGAAAACAAAAAGAAAAACAAACTATTAGGACTACATTGAAATACAAATCTTCTGCACAACAAAGGAAACAATCAACGAAACTAAAAGATAACATACTGAATGGGAGAAGATATTTGCAAATGACATATCTGATAAAGGGTTAGTATCCAAAGTATGTAAAGAACTTACACAACTCAACACCAAATAAACCAAATATCCAATTAAAAAATGGGCAGAAGACATGAACAGACATTTCTCCAAAGAAACAGATGGCAAGCAGACACACGAAAAGATGCTCAACATCACTCATCATCAGGCAAGTACAAATCAAAACCACATTATGATATCACCTTACCCCTGTCAGAGTGGCTAAAATAAAAAAACACAGAAAATAACAAGTGTTGACAAGTATGTGGAGAAAAAGGAACCTTCATACACTGCTGGTAGGAATGCAAACTGGTGCAGCCACTGTGGAAAACAGTATGGAAGTTCTTCAAAAAATTAAAAATAGAACTATCCTATGCTCCAATAATTCTACTACTAGGTATTTACCCAAAGAATACAAAAATTCAAAGGGATATATGCACCCCTATGTTTACTGCAGCATTATTTACAATAGCCAAATTAAGGAAGCAGCCCAAGTGTCCATCAATAGATGAATGGATAAAGAAGTATCCACCAACAGATGAATGGATGTGTGTATATATACACACATACATACACACACATACATAGAGTAGAATATTACTCGGCCATAAAAAAAGAAGAAAATCTTGCCATTTACAACAATATGGATAGAGCTAGAGAGTATAATGCTAAGTGAAGTAAGTCAGAGAAAGACAAAAATCCTATGTTTTCACTCATATGTGGAATTTCAGAAAAACAAATGAACAAAGAAAAAAAAAGAGACAAGCCAAAAAACAGACTCTCAACTATAAAACAAACTGATGGTTACCGGAGGGGAGGTGGGTGGGGGATGGGTGAAAAGAAGTGATGGGGATTAAGAGTACATTTGTCTCGATGAGCACTGAGTAATGTATAGAATTGCTGGATCACTGTATTGTATGTCCAAAACTAATACTCTCTGTTACTATAATGAAATTTTTAAAAACATCAAAATAAATAAATTAAAATATAATAATGACAACAAAAATAAAGTGATGAGACCTTGGGAAAACTCAGAGGATACAGATGTGCTGCTGTATTAAATACACAAGTCTGGGGGCGCCTGGGTGGCGCAGTCGGTTAAGCGTCCGACTTCAGCCAGGTCACGATCTCGCGGTCCGTGGGTTCGAGCCCCGCGTCAGGCTCTGGGCTGATGGCTCAGAGCCTGGAGCCTGTTTCCGATTCTGTGTCTCCCTCTCTCTCTGCCCCTCCCCCGTTCATGCTCTGTCTCTCTCTGTCCCACAAATAAATAAAAACGTTGAAAAAAAATAAAATAAAATAAATAAATACACAAGTCTGTCTACTGTTGGGAAAAGGAAGGAGTGGCACACAAACAGCACATTAAAATATGGCAAATTTTGCGGATACCTGTGTGGCTCAGTCAGCTGAGCCACCAACTCCTGATTTCAGCTCAGGTCATGATATCATGGTCTGTGGGTTTGAGCCCCACATGGGGCTCTGCACTGGCAGCGTGGAGCCTGCTTCAGATTCTCTCTCGCCCTCTCCCTCTGACCCTCCCCACTCATGCTTGCTTGCTCTCTCTCTCTCAAAAATAAACATTAAAAAAATTAAAAATAAAATAAAATATGATTAATTTTGAACCATATTCTTGAACCATAAACATTTTAAATGGGTTAAAAATGAATTATTCAATTATTACCTGGAGATAGTCTTAGCTTGTTGTTCTGTTAAACCGAGCTCTTCACTGGAAACTCCATCTTTTGTTATAAGGTCCTCAATAATGTCGGCAATATCAGTCAATCCAGTCATCTGGAGTGGGTCTACTGAAATACTTCATTTTCAAATGCAATTTGAGAAATATAAGTCAGTATCTATAACTTAATTACATTAATCAAAAATGAACATGTAAAGTTTAAAAAATGAACATGTAAAACTATGCCTTCCAAGAGCATAAACAAACACCAAAATCATAAACCTAGAACTAATGTTCCTTCTACTTTCCAGTAATCCTCAGTGCAAAAGTCTAATCATTAATAATTGGTGACTTCTTAGGGGCTCTTAAAAAAGTGAACATAAGGCTCAGGAGATCAGTTCTACCCGTCCTGTCTGCTGAATATATAGGCAGTTAAAGAAATGTAGCAAATGCAGTCTATTATATTCTAATTCCTTATGCTAAAACAGTAAAGGATGTAATATAGTAAACCTCAGCTTCTTAAAACATTCCATTCTCAGTGAAAATTAATTATATTTCTAGAGTCCATGAAAAAATATGTAGTGTAGCAGCTCACATACACATGAACAACAAAGTTTTCCACTCAGTTTATGCCCAACTTCAAGTAAAATTGTGAATTAATTCTTAAGATATTTACCTCTCGAATAACTCATCACTGTTATTCACACCTAAAAAAAGAAACATTATTAATAAAAATTTTACGTCAGTTATCTTTTTACTTTCATCTATTAATCCGATTTAGAAATTATATAACCAGAAATTGAAATATATTTAAACCTCCAAATAGGTTTAAAGATACGTATGTGTAGTATTCTTATCCTCCTCTTGAATAAGCTATTTGGTAGTGAATACTCTCTGCGTTTTCAGATTATTGCTTTTCTATCCAGAGTATTCGGAATAATATACTTTAGGAAGTACGGTCCTTTGCTTACTACACAGTTTAAAATACTGAAGTGCAATTTACTAAAACAAAAAACAAAAAAGCTCTGGTGGTCTAAAAGTAATACATTTGGGAGAATATCTAACTTTTTAAGATGTTTTATTTTTGAGAGAGAGAGAGAGTGCAAGTGAGGAGGGGCGGCGGCGGGGGGACCAGAGGATCCCGATGCAGGGCTCAAACTCCTGAACCATGAGATCATAACTATAAATTTCTTTTCTGATTCCTTTTATCAAAGGGCAGAAAAGTGTTATATCCAAATAAATAACTTTTCATAGTAGTTACACAGGATGATTTGATCCTTAGTTCATTTTCAAACCAGTTTTGGAACTCTTCTATGAGACTGCCTTCATAATTTACTGAACACACAGATCAGCTTTATTCCTTGAAAATCACAGTTCCTTTTTTTAATTTTTTTTTATTTATTATTAACGCAAGCATTTATTTTTTTGGGACAGAGAGAGCACAGAATGAACGGGGAGGGGAGAGAGAGGGAGACACAGAATCAGAACATTGCCGCCCAGGCTGTGAGCCATCAGCCCTAGAGCCCGGGAACAAGCTGCGATCTGGTCTCATAGATCGCGAGGACCGGCGAAGTCGGACGCCACTCATCTGCCACCCAGGCTCTCCTTTTTTTTTTTTTTTTTTTAATTCCAAACAGTGACTCTCAGCCTGATTATCTATCTCATTTCTCAGAAATGCCTCTGGAAATCTTGTAGCTATTTCCAAAACTTAAATCTGTTTTCAGTGAGTAAATTATTTGCCACCGTTAAGATCAATCACAAGAAGGGCACCTGGATGGTTCAGTCGTTAAGCATCCAACTCTTGATTTCAGCTTAGGTCATGATCTTGCAGTTTGTAGAGTTTGAGTCCTGCATCGGGCTCTCTGCTATAAGGATGGAGCCCATTTTGGATCCTCTGTTCTTCCCCCACCCACCCCGCCCCATTCCCCACTTGTGCTCTCTCTCTCACAAATTTTTTTTAAAAACCCACAAGAATGTGCTAAGAAACAGAAGTCAATTTCAAAGGAGAAAATCTAAGCTGGTTTTGAGCATTAGAAGTAAGGGAGTGACTATCCATCCTTGTAAGATGCCAATTTTGGAAGAGAAAACACCCATTAGGGCATCTAAATTCTGTACTCTAAAAAATAATTTTGTTTCCTTTTTAATTTACATTAGATATTGAATACTAGAGGAAAACATTTTAATTATCCATCTTTATATGTGTTATGCCATTTACTGACATTTCTCCTTTCTTCTCTCACTTCCTAACTTAAGAAGCTATTACAATCCTGAATGAATCACCTCCCCAACCTGGTACTTTCCATCTCACTTTTCCTACTTTCTTTTCTTCTTCCTTTAAACATTAAAGATTTTGTCTTTATCCCCATCTTGAAATGATCTTTGACTTCATTTCTCTTATCTTATTTTTCTACTTCCTTTTAATATCAGAATTCTTAAGTAGTCTTTACTTACAGCTTCTTGAGCCTATCGCTATCCCCAGCCAGCTTTCTTCTACTCTTCATATTATATTGAAAGTACCCAATGTCCTTAACAAATTCAATCTTTATTCTTGACTTTATGGATTCTTGTGAAACTGTTAGCCACTTACTACTTCTTGAAAATCCCTCACCAGAGTCTGCTTGTCCATGTCCCTCACTGGGAGGCTCCCCTTACTCTCTACAGGGTGGCATTTCACAGGTTGCTCTTTGGCATTTTCCCTTTTTCCATATTGCTTGGTGATAACAGATGCACTAATTCTTAACTATATAATTATATAAAAGCTCTTACATCTGTTTTTCAGGCTTAAACCTCTCATCAAGTTCCACTTCCTATAAAAAACTGGATCCTAAATATGGCCATTTATATACCCCAGCATCACATTCAACTATTACATTTGGTCTACAGGTGCTCTCGAATTTGACATCAGAGCTAGGATATCCTCATTCCTATAGTCTAACAACACAAAGTAGCCATTCATTTTCTCCTTCTCCTCTTTTATCCACTTAGTGACAGCAGTTGCTTATTCAGAATGTCTCTCGCTTTCTCACACACTGCCCAGGTTCTCACTGTTTCACAGGCCAGATGAATTTAACAGCTCACCAAAGGATCTCTGCCTCCATTCTAGTCTTTCTCAAAACCCCCTCATTATACTTTTCTGCTCAGAATTCTCCAGTGATTCCCTGGGATAAAATGGAGTTTATGCTTCTCACATACAGTCAGAACTCTCTGCAACCTCCTTAACGTCATTTGTCAACTCTCCCCTGTAAGTGGAGAGAGAAAAGCTGCCGATGACGGAGACCCTAGAGGAATCAGGTTCGCAGCTCAGTGCTTTATATACAATAGTCAATCTTCACAACAACCTGGTGAAGCAGAAATGATTGTCTCCCTGTGATGACTAAAACACAAATGGAATCTACAAAGAACTTAGAGAAAAAAATTACAGGACTTAAAGCCAGATTCTTAATAGTTTTATTTAAATAACAGCAATGTCGTTTAAAAATACCATCTTTGGGGAGCCTGGGTGGCTCAGCTGATTGAGCTTTTGATTCTTGATTTCGGCTCAGGTCATGATCTCATGGCTCATGGGTTCAAGCCCCATGTCAGGCTCTGTGCTGACAGCATGGAGCCTGCTTGGGATTCTCTGTCTCACTCTCTCTGTGTCCTTCCCCAACTCTCTCTCTCTCAAAATAAATAAATAAACCTTACACAACAGTTTTTTTAAATAGCATTTTTACTGCTTATATTAACTTTAAAAATGATAATAAAATATACTATAAACCCTCAGTAAATTCATCATTTTTGACCATCAATAGCTAAGGGCTAAAAAATATATATTTCAAAGCCACTATCAGTAGCCCAAGTGTTATATTTAGTATAACCTATTATTCATATGACAAAATGTATTTGTTAGGACTAAACAATAGCATTTTAACTGCCAGCTCCAAATGAAACAGAAAAATAGCACTAAACTTTTCTAAGTCTCAATATCCTCCACTATAAAATGGGGACAATAATGGCATCTACCTCACAGGTTAGGCTTACACCAGGGTCAATGCATGTAACACAGCAATATCGGGGACCCAGCAGAGGCTCAATACACTACAGCTGTTGTTTTGTTTTCATAATTAAAACTCAAGGTTCTCAATGTTGGCAGAGTTTGAATTTCTCAATTTTTGTAAAAATCAGATAGTACAGTAATTCCAGTTGCTATACACTTAACATTTTATTAAAATAACTTGGAGATATCTAATCATACATTATATCTTGTTAGAGATATATCCTTGCAATATCTAATGAAGATGACAATACAGTTCTTCAATAAATGGTACAAATTGTAACTTCCCTTGCCCCGAAATTTATAAATATTGCAAAATAGCTTCACAAATCCTTCACAACTGTGTTCCCAGTAAACACTCTTCAGCAATAGCGTATTGGAAGATAAGAGTGTAAACAAAAAAAGGGAAGAACAATACCAGGAGAAGTTGTACTCTGGCCACTGAAAAGGCTGACCGCTGAATCAGCAGAAGGAAATACACAGGTTTTCTGACTAGAATGAGTTTCTGTTACTGAAAATTCAGCTTCTGAAATCTCCTCTTTGTCACTTTGATCCTCCTCATTCCTATGAGTCAGGAAATGTGCTAATCCAAAGGAAAATAGTAGAAGAAAGAAAGCACAGGGAAAAAAGATACAACGCTTAGTTAACCCTTTTACATGGCAACAGATAGAAGTTTACAACGTATTATTTTGATAACTTTCCACTATATAATGATATAATTGAATATATTTAAAACTTAACCTCTCTCATAGTAAAAAAAAATTATGCTTATTTTTTTAAAATTAAGTTTATTATTTTTTTAAAGTTTATTTATTTTGAGAGAGAGCAAAAGAGAGAAAGGAGAGAGAGAGAATGTGAGCAGGGAATGGGCAGAGAGAGAGAGTGTGAGAGAGAATCCCAAGCAGGCTCTGTGTTGTCAGAGCAGAGCCTGTTGCAGGACTTGAATTCACGAACCATGAGATCATGGCCTGCACTGAAATCAAGAACTGGACACTTAACCAATTAAGCCACCCAGGCACCCCAAAACTGTTAAGTTTATTATCTGTTTCAGAAAACATGGCAGACTGAGCTGAAGTGGACAGGTTCATACCCTGTTATAAAAACACAGAAGAAATGCTAAATTAAAAAAAAAAAAAAAAAAGATTAGGGACACTGGCTGGCTTAGTCAGTAGAGCATGTGACTCCTCATCTCAAGGTCATGTGGTTGTGAGTTCAACTCCCACATTTAAGTAGGCATGGAGCCTACTTAAAAGGAATTAAAAAATAAAATAGATAGATTAATATGCAAACAAGCCCTGTAAATAAAGAAATCCCCCAGTGCCAGAAAAGAAAAAGGAATCAAAGCTGGGCAATATATGGAGAAGGATGCTGGGATAGTCCATAGAGAAACAGGAGATGTGGTTTCTGCCATCAGCCGTGGGGAGAACTGAGCTACTTTCACATGGCCTAGAGCACTGAAGGATAGGTCTGTCCATAAAATGAGGATAAGAAAAACCATGGAGAAGCAGCAAAGTTTTCTATCTTCCTGAATGGTATATGGGAGAAAAATAAGTCAACTCTGAGAAATCAAAACCTCTGTCTTGCCACAAGCAGGTATGGGATCTGAATTTATACCATCTATGTAGTAAAGCAACTCCAAGCCCAGAAATGTACAGGAAAACTTGTTCCCCAAACTCTTTCTATTTCAGCAGATAGCAAGAAGCAAATACAAAACCACTTCAAAGACAAGTGTATACAACCCAGCAGAACTCTCCTAAAGATAAGTTCATGATAAAAAAAAAAAAAAAAATTACAGGGGTGCCTGGGTGGCTCAGTCATTTAAGCGTCCAACTTTGGTTCAGGTCATGATCTCATGGTTTGTGGGTTTGAGCCCCACGCCAGGCGCTGTGCTGACAACTCAGAGTCTGGAGCTTATTTCAGATTCTGTGTCTGCCCCTCCCCTGCTTGCTCTCTATCTATCTCTACCCCAAAAATAAAAACGTTAAAAAAAATTTTTTTTAATTACAAATCGCACAAAGAAACAACCATGAAAGAGAGCAGTATGCAGATTTGACTACTGAGAATATGCACACATGAAGTAAAACAGTATGAAAGGGCATAAAATATTACTAAAATCATTAAATAGATAAAAGGGCATAGAAACCATAATAAAAGAACAGGATAGTACATCCAGCAAACAGATTTGAAAAAGAAATAAACAGAACCTGTAGACATTAAGAATGCAGTAAAAAAAAAATTAAATCCTACAGCAAAGAAGACACGGAAGAGAAAATTAGTAAACTAAAAGACAGATTGGATGACATCACCCTGAATATATCACTGAGAGATAAAAAGATGGCAATTAATAGTTAAGAGACAGAATAAAGCGAGAAGGTCCAAATAGCTGGTGTTTTAGAAAACAGAACAGAAAGAATGGGGAGGAAGCAATACTCCAAAAGGAAATGGATGAAAAATAACCAACATTAAACCTGCAACTTAAAAGAATCATTCCTCTCCCATATAGAATAAATTTTTAAAATGTATACACTGAGACACACTTGTATCAAAAATATAAAATAAGCCAAAAATAAAGAGAAAATTCCAGGGGCACCTGGGTAGCTCAGTTGGGTAAGCATCTTACTCTTTATTTTTCAGCTCAGGTCATGATCTCACAGTTTGTGAGAGATCACAAACTGGGCATGGAGCCTGCTCAAGATCCTCTCTCTCTGCTCCCCTCTCTCCCTCTGCTCCTCCCCTGCATGTGTGTGCTTACTCTCTCAAACAAACATAATACAATGAAAATGTAAATAAATTAAAAATATAGCCCTAACCCCATAATATTGAGAATCTAAAAATCCCTTTTACAAACTAAAGAAGATATTTTTTTTCTAAGTTTATTTATTTATTTTGAGAGAGTGAGTGAGCAGAAGTGGGGGAGAAGCAGAGAGAGGGAGAGAGAGGAGGAAAGAGAGAGGGAGAGAGAGATACCAAGAAGGCTCTGTGCTGTCAGCATGGAGACCCAAGCGAACTGTGAGATCATTACCTCAGCCAAAACCAAGAGTTGAACACTTAACAGAGTAAGCCACCCAGATGTCCCTAAAGAAGACATATTAATACAAATTACAAACTACTTAGATCTGAACAACACCAAAACGTGGTTCATATCAACACTCCTGTCTGGGTCCTTACAAGAACACGTTCAGCATCAAATGCACACATTAGAAAAAGATAAAGAATGAAGTTAGGAAAAAGTCAACAGGTTAAGCTCTCAAAAACAGAAGAAATCATAAAGCTAAGAATAGAAATTTATGAAAAAGAAAATTAGGAGCGCCTGGGTGGCTCGGTCAGTTAAGCATTCAACTCTTGGTTTCAGCTCAGGTCATACTCTCATAGTTCATGAGTTTGAGCCCCGCATTGGGCTTCTCTGCTGTCAGCACAGACCCTCCTTGGGATTCTCTGTCCCCCTCTCTCTGCCCTTCCCCCACTTGCACTCTCTCTCTCTCAAAAATAAACATTAAAAAAAATTAAACAGAATCAACAAACCAAAGCCTGTTTTTAAAAAATGCATTACATTGCTGACAAGACTGAATGAAAGACAGTGTAAGGATAACAACTATAGATATAGTAGAAAAGTTTTTAAGTACCCTCGTTTCATTACTTCAACGAGAAATGCAAAAACATACCATCTCACCACTGCCTGGCCATTTAATCAGAACCTCAAATTCCAGTTCTGCAGATGACCAGGGACAAAGAGCAACCACAGCACAAAGCTGTGTGCAACCTCAGCGAGTGTGTGGCTGGTGCTGCCCCACTCTAGGAGTTTACAGCACTGGCTTCTCAGGAAAAAATGGCATGGGTAGGAGCCAATCACATGATCACAAAAATACCTAATCTAACAATTAGGGGACTGATGGCTTCAGCTCACAAATGAAAACTGTCCCCAATTCTGGCACTCCCAAGGGCAATGCTTCCCCTTTCAGAGCAAGGTCAGGCCCCCCCCTCCCCCCACCACACACACAAACCTTCTGAAATACCAGTGGCTTTTGAAACAGATGTTTTTTCAGATTCAAGACCAGAGGACAATTCAATATGGTCTAAGGATGCACCCTGTAGAAAAACACATACAAAAAAATAACTTGAAAATTTTAGTTTGATAGTTTCACAACATTGTTAAATAATTTTATGTACATTTTAAATATTAAGGGAACAAGTGAAAGAAATGGGATTACATCCAGTAAGAGCTAAATGGTGAGGACAGATAAAGAGAAGGAAATTTTTATCTATTTGTAGTCTAAATGATTTAACCTTTCCTAAGGAAAACAGCATCACATAATTTTAGACTGGGGAGGAATGTTAATTACCACTTAGACAAAACCTTCATTTTACAGATGAGAGAAGAGGGCCCAAAGAAATTGAGTGACTTTCTTAGTGGCAGAATATGGATCTCAACCTAGGTCTTCAAAGCCCCTAGTCAGCACTTGTGCAAAAGTATCCCTCTGCCTCTTCCAGGCTTACAGTCTGTTCTATTAATTAAAATACACAAGTCAAAACCTCTGTATTTATGTGTACGTTACAACAGGATGAGAATATTTTAAAACAATATGCCCAACGTTTCATTTAAATTAGTGCTAGCTCCTTGAAAGTAGTCACCTTAGCAGACTAAATACTTTTGGAGTTTGAGCAACCTCTCTTCCTTTGAAATTGTCTCCCAAGCTTGTGCTACAATTATTATTAACTGTTCTGGTGATAAGTCTTTATTATATAAATGTGATTTTATTACTGTCAGAATCTAAAACTGAGAGAGCAAAGATAGCCATTAAATAAACATTCATCAAATGCCTGACATGTGCCAAGCAAAAGGCACAATCCCTGTCCTCCAATGTTAAAAAAGGCTTGGGCCGAGAGGGGAGCGGTTACAGAATTTTTAGGAACTTTTTCAAAATACATGTGTGTGATCTGCACCCTTCCCCTTGCCAAGCCACTGCCCCTTCCTCTGTCCATACCCTACCACCCCAGATTCAGTAGGCCTGCCATGTATATTTTGAAAAAGATCACGACTTACACATCTGTCCTTTTATGTAAGGATCCAGATATGTGGAAATTCCTTCTCGAAACTCTTCCTTTGGCTTGCTTTCTCCTGAGTCTCTTACTACCTCAGAATGCTCCTTCTCAAGCTTTGTGGTTGAATCTTCATCTTTAAAAGTTTGTGCACCCACAAAATTGTGCCCTTTATCCTCTTTTACTCCTCATTCAGTGTACTCTCTCTGGGTGAATGCCCTATTATGATTCGAACTTCCTCCTAAGGACTCTAAAATCTGTACCATCAACCCAAATCTAGCTCCTAAGCTCCAGAAGCATATATCCAACTGCCTACTAATCTCACAGCACCTCAAATTTAACATGTTTCTGACTGAAATCACTGTGCCTCCCTCCTCCCAAAACACACATACTACTTCTTCCCTAGTTTGGAAAATGACTCCAGGCCCAAAATCTGGACGCCATTGTGATCTTTCTATTCTTCACCTTCCCACAACCGATCACCCTCTGAGTCCTGCAACATCCTTCCCTTCATCCTCAATGCTAAAGTTCAGGTTATTGTTACTTCTTGGCTTGGTATTCAGTGGATCTCAAACATCAATCAGTAAACCCAGTATAGAGCTAACTACAAAAATTACAGAGCTAGCTACACAAGAATCATTTTTGAAGCTTACTAATAACACAAATTCCTGGGTCCCACCCTAGGATTACTTAGAATCAGAATCTCAGGGGTATGAGACCATAAGTTTGCAATTCTAACAAGTTCCCCAAGATGACTCTAATGAGTCAGTTTAGAACCACTGTGACCCAACTGATCTCCCTGTTCTCAGTCTTATCCTCTCCAATCTCCTCTCCACACTGCTGCCAGAGTATCTGATCATATCATTTCACTGCTTAAAATTCTTCAGTGGTTTCCTACTGCCTATTTATGGGATAAAATCCTAATCACTTGACATGGAAAACAATACTTTCCATCATGCCTTAGCTGCCCCTACCTACCTCTACTGCCAGATGTCTTAAAAGCCAGTACCATCAACCTCTACCTCACAATGTCCCATCAGCCTTTCCTTATCTCACTGATGAATATCAATTCATTATCAGCTCAAGAGTAAGCTCTACAGAGCCTTCTCTGATGCCACCCCTTCACTCACTCACTTCTCTAGTCACAACAGGTCGTGTGTCCAATACTGTTCTCGCTGCACCCTGTTCATACGCATATACTGGAGTATACATCTGTCTTCCTTTGTTAGATTCTAAGCTGCTTGAGAGTAGTGACTATGTATGTCTTGTTTATCTTTCCATTCCCACAACTTAGCACATGGCCCAGCATATAGCAGAAGCTCAATGTTTACTGAAGGAACAAACTCTTGGACTCTGGAGCAAGCCAGGATTAAGACTAGATTCAAGGCTAAGTAACATATTTGACTTTAGATATGCTTAATATACTAGGACATAAAGCAACTTTGAAAGTGATTCCTTGAAATAAGGAGTTCCAAAGATGACTCTGAAACTTAACACTCATTTTGAAGTGATATATTTAAGTCTGGGTTAAAAAAACAAAAAGGAAAACAACCAAATAAACATCATAATAATGTTACTTAATAGTAGCCCTACCTCGTATTTTTTTCAGTGTAATTTCACATGTGTTTAATCTTAACTTTTTAATATGTGTTAAATGTTTGAATTAAAGAAATACTATAAACCTAATAAATACATCTTTTAAAATCTCAACCTGCTAGCAACCTGGAATATTTGTTAGGTAAGTCAGTGATGGAATTCTTATCCTGCAGACCAATTTGCATTTCCCAATACAAGGCTTTTACACACTCAAAATATTTTTACTGTTAGTTCCTTAATCTTTATTTGATGTGAATTTTACTTCCTAAAAAAAAAGTTTGTGCAAAATAATTAATTCATGTTTAAGACTTCCTTTCTATTTGTCTAACTACCATGATAATACACATAAATAATCTCTTTCTCATGAGTATTTTTTAAAGATACAGAAACCATCTAAGGACTACTATTCCCATTGTGTAAAATATTTAAAAGAAACCGAGAATTCCAAATATAAAGACAACAATATTTGTAAAGTTAAAAAAAAATCTTGCTGAAGAAAATGATAATTAAGGGCAGGGTTCATTTAAAACCACATTCTTGTTTTCTAATTCAACTATTTCTTTCCATGGTAGGAAGCACTGGTTCACTTCTTAAAAGTTTAAGGCAGTGGTTCTCAACTGGGGGTGATTTTGCCACCCAAAGAACATTTGGCAACATCTGAAGACATTGTTATTATTATTATGCTACTAAACATCCTACAATGCACAGGACAGCCTCCTACAACAAAGAGTTATCTGGCCCAAATGTCAGTCATGCTGAGGTTGAGAAACCTAATTTCAAAAAATAAATAAATTAATTAATTTCCCATTATTTTGAAAAATCAAATGTCCAAACTTACATCACACCAAACTCTAATAACTCAGTAACCAACAAATAGCTAAAATAAAAGACAGTCTACCTTATCACAATGTCGATCTAGCACTTTTTGTCTGGGGCAATCCCGTTCTATGTTTTCAGCAATGTTCTCTATTGCTAACAGTTGTTCATCAATTTTCTGAAGCTTAGAGGTAAGATGCTCTAGCCGGCGAGCTGCAGAGCTCTGTGCGGGACGAGCCGCAGAGACATCCCGCAGTAGCTCCCATAGCAGATACTCCTCTGCGGCAGATGACTTTGAGCTCTGCTCTTTGAATCGGCAATCTGGCTTCAGCATATCTAAATATTAATAAAGGTAATATCAGAATTGATTACAATTAAGGGAGAAGTAGATGCTGATGATCTAATTTTTTTGAAGACCTCAGTTTAAGTCAACAAAACATTCCTTCAGAAATTTTCTAACACTTCAGCTTCCTGACTTCTGAGAGTTGTCTGTTGTGAAATAAGAATATGTAACAGTATTACTATTACCATAGGACTCCATATACAAGGCAGTTTGAATGTTACTTTTACCCTCTGCTTCATCAAAAAGCAACTTTATTTAATATTCTTGACTTTTTAAAAACTCTACTTGAAAACCAACAATGTCACACAGTAAAAGCCAGGCCTGCTGTGGGCCATTACCAACTCCACATGGGATCTCAGGCTAACACCAAACCTCCCAAGACCAATATCAAAGCCAATGACTCTCCCTTACTCTTCAAGTCAATTGATTCTTGTCCCAAATTTGAAACACTTTTTTAAATGCATCCTTTTTCTGGCTTCTGGGTCTCTTCCTCCCCTTACTGGTCTTCCATCTTAGTTGTCTTCTTGTTCTTCTCTTCTGCACCTGCCCCTCTGACCCATCAGTATTTCCAGGGTGCCAATCTCTGCTCACTTTTCTTCTCACCCTGCCCACTCTCCCTGGGTGATGTCACTGATGCACAGGTGACTCTCAAATTCACATGGCACCTTTGTGAGCTCCAGCCCTGTGTCCTGGATATCTCATTTAGGTTGTCCCAAAGCACAGCAATTGAAACTCTGCCCCTCCAACCTGCTCCCTCTTCCTGATTCCCCAGGTTGGTGAACAGCACTATCATTCACCCAGGTTCCTAAGCCACAGGCCTGAGAGTCATTCAAGCTTCTTCTCTTTCCTTCAGATCTAAAGTAACACCGAATATTGAGGATTACCAACCAAAATCTCCATTCCTACTACCACTGCTTAGGTGAAGCTTTCACAATAGATAGACGCCAATTAGTATCTCTATTTTGCCCTCATGTAGTCCATCTTCCACACAGATTTTTTTTTT